GCTATTTGCAATGCTGAAATTGCAGATGCTATTTAAATCCAGAGCTGGTCTGTAACTTCAGCTTGGAGAGTGGAAACCCTTCTATTTCCTTATGCTCACTGGCTTGAAACCAAAAATTTAAACATGTGGAAAAAATTTAAATAAGCAACTAGTGGCTCTTTGAAATATTAAGTGTATATTTAGTAAATACAAATGGAGATTATAGACACAGCAAGGATGAATATGTATTTTGGCATGTGCCACTCCTTTGACTTACTCATGGTGGTGTGCTTTCATTGCACTGGGCTGCCTTTTGTTACATGTTCTTCAAGCTTTGTGTAAGGATAAAAGGAAGCAGCTTATAGCAGTTCCCTGTTGATAGCGTCTGACTTCTTTCTCACCTTAAAACTTCAATGTTGGCACGAAAGAAAGTAATCCAGTGTTCTCTCAGCTTGTGGACTGCTGATGACCTTAAAAGTCTTAATGAGAAAAGCTGCATAAAACCTGTGAAACTGTGTTGGGGTTCTCCATCTTTCCATGTAAGATGTCTTTACTTAGGTCATTGTTTTTATTAATTTATGGAGTGGGACTCCTGAGCTTGCAAATGAGTCCAGCTAATGGAAGAATTCCCTTATGTGTATTGAAGGCAGCATAACAAAGGGGGAAGATGATAAACCGAAAGCGGGTTTTTGCATGTTCTCTTTGCCAAAAGACTTGAGTGATTGAAGCAATGATTTAAGGATTACCATTACCTTAAATGGAGAAAGACTGCTAGAGCAGTGTTCGGTGTAGTAGTGTCATCTACCGCAAGTAGAAACTCCTGCAAAGGTCAGGAGACTGTGTTTGAAAAATGTTTGGAGATGAAAAGTGTGTGTATAGGAAGGGATTTTGGCGGTGGGTTGCCGAGTTGCAAGGGATGTATGGTGTGGGGATGAGCTTTTTGTTGCTGTCATGGTTTTGTTTCATTTTTTCCCCTCTGCAAAACGGCTTGCATCCTTGGCAGGCTTTCCCATCTCTGGACTTGATTGCCTCAGCAGTCTTAGAAAGAGGAAACCTAGAAAACATGTTGCATAATATTTTGGGTAAATTGAATGATTGATGAGAATACTGGGCTCAGCTTCTCATTTGCCTTCTCAGAGGTGGGTGGAAAAGAGCCTTGATTCCGTTAGCGATTAAGGGAGTGGTGTAACAGAAGAACGTGTTCAAGTTACTATCTTCTTAGAAGAAATTTAGTTTCTTCTAATTGTTTCCTGCAGGCGATGTCCAACTGTGGTGGAGCCAACAGATTGCGACTTAGCTCCTGTGATTCATCATAGAAACTCAACTGCTCCGGGAAGAGCAGATCTGACAAACTGGTCTGTAAGGGATCAGCCTAGAGAGTGGTGTGGTGTTCAGCTGGGACACCTGCTGTAGCTTTCTGATAGCTTAGGAGTTTAGCAGGGCAATTGCTTTGAAGTGTTGGGACTTGCACATACCGCTTTCCTAAGGGAGATGGCAGTAGGCAGGCCTGAGTATTCACACACTGTGGTGTGTGCATGCTCCTCCAATTTGTCTGGACTCGGCATCAGTTTAAAACCAGTAGGTTGGCAGTGGTTTGCATCTGCTGGAGTTGCACTGCTGTTAGTCTTCAAAGCAGTTTTGCTGCAAACTCCTTGACCTTTACAAAGCTACATGTGGAGGTGTATGGTCTTGGGCTTGTTGGGTATGCAGGCACCTTCCTGCTATTGCATTCAGAAGTAAAAGTACAGCCTTGTGAAGTGCTTCAGTTCTTTAAACACTGTGTACAGCAGCAGTAAAGTCCATTTCTGCTCAGACTGATAAATACTGTGTCTGCTGCACCTAGTTTTTGTAAATCAACCCTGAATGAATGAGGCCTGCAAGCTATGGTTGACGTGCTCCCTGTGGCAAATAGTCCCAGTGCAATTTGGGAAGGCTCCTTCAAAATCAACAGCTGTTTCAGGCACATTAGTTTTGTCCAGTGCCTGGAGGTAAAACCACAGCGCTAATTGCCTTGCAAACCTCTCCTGGAGTGGCTGTGACAGCAGATTTGGAAGTGCAGCTCCATGGGAGGGAAGAAATTGCACATAAGTGGCCTGTTAAATGGGGAAGCTCTGACACCTGCTCATCCTGAATTTGAGATGTGGCTGATGCTGGATCAGGACAACTCACTCTTGGTTCCTTTTTTTGAGGGAGGAACCTTGTTCCATGTCTCTGTAGCCAGTCTGGCACTCTCGCTTTGTGTGTAGTTTCCTTTTGTTAAACAAACAAACAAAAAAACAAACCAAAGAGGGTGGTGAGAATCACAGAAATGCCTCGGAGATTACAGAACATGCTGCAGTTCATGGCCCTTGGACAGATAATAAGGAAAATAGGAAGAATTCCTCTGAGATTATTACAGTTTTCTTCTTCTGACCTCTCTCAGTGAAAAGTATTGACCTTGTTGGATAAAAACTTGCTGCTTTAGGTGGTCTACTAATATTGATTCGTGAGAGTGAAGTAAATGGATTCCAAATTCTCTCTTTTATTTAAAATTTAGCATACTTTACCACTTAATATATGTGAAGGGGCAGACAGTAACTTTGAATTCTGCAGGATATGGAAATGGAAGTTGAAGCAGGAGAGGGATAGGGAGTAACTTCAAGAGTGCATGCTTTATCTTCCAGATCACAGCCCTGAATTTCTAGTTATACCATGTTACCTCATGGGTTTGGTTTTTCCTATTTTTGTTTTTTTATAAATACCCCTTTCTGTTCCCTTAATGAAACATAAGACTTAAATTCCCTTCCTTGTGATCGTTCCTTCTGAAGTCAGATTCTGTAAATGATTTTATTTACACATTTGCATGTTCATGTAAGTGAATTCCACTTCCATCTTTCAAAGATTGTTAAAGGCTACAGAAGACTTGAGATGTAATTTATAGTTTATGAATAAATTCATTCCTTAAAAAGTCTGTTATTAAGTTTTGGGGTGGTGGTTTGTTAGGGTCAGGTTTTGGGAAGGGTTGGAGGGGAGAGATTGCTTATCCTGGTGAATGTTCTAAACAAGGAGAAACTATTTCATATCCAGAAATGACCACATTCACTTCAGTGTTGTTGAAGGAGTGAGTTACAACATCTTGTGTGTCACAGGTATCTCTGACGGGACAGATTGCTAAGATTTTATACTTCTTGGAGGGGAACATGGTTGTTTTAGTGTTATTGCTGCCTAAGGGCAGCTGGTTCCACAGTGGTGCTGTTGATGCAGGGTGACGAGACTGCTGTGTAGGAGTATCCTGAGAGGACAGTTTACGGTGTCTACTTAAAATGCAAAGGAGATGTGCAGAGCTTTTCAGTGTCTCTGCTCTAGGGGTCAGCAGTTTTTCAGTATGGGGCCAGATCTCAATGAATAGATCAAGAGCAACCTCTGCATACTCCTCCTGTAGCCAACTGCGTGATGGTGAGCTTGTGGTGTATGAGCATGGGCTATGTATAGTATGCACAGGTAGTGAAGCATGTTACAACTGGTGATGTGTTCCTCCCATTGAGGCGGCTGCAGCTGGATTGATGAGCTCTGCGGGGGAACCCATGTGCACACTGTTAGACCAGAAACCTACTGCAGACGTGCCCAAGTGGTGGGAGTCAGCTGGGTGCAGTCAGGACAGAGTACTGCAGCCAGCCCCCATGGGCAACTCCAAATTGAAACTGGACAAGAACAAACACACCCATACTGGTAAAACTGTGTCTGCAAGAGCGGAGTTCACTGTATTCTCTACTGGCAGTGATGTGTCTGGAGAAGGTTAATGAGCTAGTGTTGTATTGCACACTTCCCTCCCTCCCCCCCCACATGACACCTCTGAACTTGACTTTGGCAAGTTTAGAGGAGCAGAGTAGTGTCTTGTTGGTATCTTTGAATTTGTGTGATGGGAGACACTTCAGGGAGAACTATTGATTCTGACATGAATATGGAAATGCACCTTTTCTTGGTGATGTCTTCTTAATACAAGAACACCACCCCCTATTTTTGCTTCCTGGGAGCCAGTATGTATTTTTTAAAGCATTCCTATTTCCTTCCTGGCTTACAGAACTGAGTAACGTACTCAGAGAGTATGCCTTCAGTTACTGTGGCATTCATCTAGGTGTGTGCATGCCCAGTGTGCTTGATTTCTGAACTGTCAGGGTATACAAATCCCCAGTGCCTCCTGCATTGGGCGCAGAGGGGAGGAACTTGATCAGAATTCAGATTTGCTATGCCTGTGTGCTTTAGTTTTGGGTGAAAATAACTCTGCTGTGGCTGCATGTGAACTAAAAAAGTCATCCTTTGAAATCTAACCTTGTTGTCCTCAGATAGTATTGTTACTCCAGTATTTGATACTGGGTCACCCAGTCTCTAGAAAAGAGGTACCAGGATGTGCTTTGCTCTGCAGTTCGGGTGATAAACAACAGACTGGCAGTATCTGGTAGAGCCTTGTGCTTAGGGAATGAGTAACACAGGCGTTCCATGGCTTATTCTGCTTTCAGTAGTTTTCTTTTTTGGAGGGGGTGTGTGCTTAGTCATTTAAACCAGGAGAGAAATCCTGGAAACAAGGATAATCCACTAAACTTTATTCACCTTACAAAATAAGTGCTGTTTGAGCTTTGCTAGGAATTGTCATATAACTGCTACAGAATCCTAGAAACAGCTGGGAAAGTTCTGGCACTTAGAAATTACTGGCTCTAGGAGCGGGAGAGGAAATCCTGGAAACTTTTGAGAATTCCCAGAAATTCTAAACCTTATTGGAAGTTCAGAGAAACTTAGCAGTTACTAGAGACCTAAAAAGCCACTAGAAACTGAAAGTTCTAGGAGTTACCAGAAGTCACTAGAAATTCTGTGGGAATCCTGTAAGTTCAGTGGCTCTGCTAGTGATTTCTACAGTTTAAGAGCATTTGCTAGGAATATGAAAGCTGTGAACTGTCTTTTTGGGTAAAGTGGCAAACAGTTGTACACAGGTAAAACCTGCTCATCTTCCCTAAGCTGCCAAGCATACAGTTTTAGCATCGTACTCGATGAGTGTCCTGGTTTTGCTTGTCTTACATGCAAACTTATTTTGTTTTCTGCAGTCCTATTTTGTTACGGATTATGATCCAACGATTGAAGACTCCTACACCAAGCAATGTGTGATAGATGAGAGAGCCGCGCGCTTGGACAGTAAGTAGCCTGCCTAAAGCATGGTGCTGACAGCCTGTAGCTGTTGGTGCCTGTGTTTACCTCTGTGTGCATAAAATGTAATGCAGGTAAATAACTGTGCAGCATGTGGGGTTTATGTAAGTGTACGGCTGGTAACAGCTACCTACCTTTGTTTTATTAATAAGATACCCTGGATGTGAAGTGCTTATGCCTTAAGTATGTGTGTCTATCTTTAAAATAAATAGGACTTTTTTTGGAAGAATTATTCCCAAAGCCATAGTGTCTACAAAATTAGGAGAATTTATGTGACTCCTGGCAGTTACCGGGGTGAAGTGGTGGAGTGAAAAGCGCATCACTTGGCTGTTGCGTGCTGCCTCTTTCAAGTACAATATAAATGCTTTGCTTTAAAAGTTTCAGTTCTTCCTTGCCAGTGATTTCTTTAAGGACAAATCAGCACCCCACCCAAGTCTCTCTAAGCGTTTTCCAGCTGTTTTAGCTGGTTGTGAATTAGCCAAAGTCCACCAAACTTTGTTGTTCAGTTTGTTTGATAGGTCTTGAGTTGTTTCCAAGAACTTGTTGGGAATCTTATGAAATATCTAATAGAATCTGTGAAAGGTGATTTCTGCTTAGTTACGATGTACAGGAGAGGCTCTAACAACATCCTGTTAGGAAGGATTTTTTTTCTTAGTCTGTACTCTAAGAACATGAACTGTAGTAATCAGTGTTTTGCTTGTGTTCAGTTCTGGATACAGCGGGACAAGAAGAATTTGGAGCCATGCGTGAACAGTACATGAGGACGGGGGAAGGTTTTCTGCTTGTTTTCTCAGTCACTGATAGAGGAAGGTAAGCTTGATGTCAAGTTATTAAACAAGTTGTAGTTAATCTGAAATTGCTGCTTATCCTTTATTGAAATGATCTCAAACAGGAATATTAAGTATATGTTCACTTTCAGATTCTGCGGTGTGAAACTCAGCACTGATGAAAATCCATTTTAAACCAGTTACTTATTGAAAGTATCTGTCTCTTGGAATAGATGACTTGAAAGCGTACACAGAAATAAAAAAAGCCATTCTATTCAAGCACTTCATTACAGTCCAGAATTCTAGTTTCCTGGAAGTGACAGGAATTTAAACTAGATGTCTGATCAGTTCTTAGAAATATTCCCTTGCCATGTGCTCGTCAGTGTCAAGTGGCTGGCTCTGGATTTCTGAACAGGTTATCCTGTTCAGGGTATGTCTCTGCACTCTTTTGCAGGCAGTGCTCACTCTTACTCCCATGAATTGACCAGAAGCTGCATAACTGTTTGATTGCAGAGTTGAGCTAAAGCATATCTTTTTAGAAGCTCACAGAGATTGGTCAGGAAGCTCCTGATCATTGTAAGAGTAGGAAACTGCCATGTATATAGAGACAATCACTTAATGTTTTGGTTGTGATCATCCTCCATTGAGCTTATCAGATACGTAGTAATAAAGAAGTGCTCAGGGATCTGTCCTTCCACTTGTTCAAGTTACAACAGGAGAGCAACAAAATGACAAAGAAAATGTCTGTGATATCCCTCCACATTTCCCACTTACAGATTGAATCGAGGCTCTAATAAGTTACTTCTGATCTTATGAACAGCTCTATAATGAGAATTATGATAAATATTCTATGGAGCATGAGTGTGTTTCCATTGAGTCAGTATCTTACACTTAATGCTGCTACATGTATAAATTCGTCTTGACTTACTGTCCAGAAGAGACTGGGTCTGTGGATTTCAGACATACTGAGCACTTGTGTTAGCATAAATATTTTTGCTGGAGAAGACTGTAGTTTTTTTGAAGTCATCATGTAAACTCCTTGGTTTGTCTAAAAATCCTAAGTTTTTGTTTGCTCTTCTGGCTAAAGGTCTGCCTTGATTTTAAGCAGGTCTTGACACATTAAACCTGCATATTGTTCTCCTCTCTGAAATCCTTCAAAGACTTCTGAAAAGCAGAATTTTTATTTTTGTTTTGATATCCATTTGATTCAAGACTTCCCTTGCCTGTCAATGAAGTATCTGCTAGCAGTGTCTGTCCTGCTTGTGTGATGGAAAGAAATTCTGAAGCAAGAAGAAACCTAGAGGACTTGGTAACTTTCAACGCTATCTAGTTGCTACAGACTTCTGAGCAGAGTATTAAACCAGCATATCTGAATGGAGTTGCAACTATGCTTATAGTGGCATACCTTCCTTCTAATTCACCTTTCTTTTCATGATTGCAGTATATGGATCGTGTGGATTGGCATTGTCATGACTGACTGCATAATTTTTTATTTTTTTTTTTTTTTGTAATGCAGTTTTCTTACTGATTTATCATCTTGCTTTTAAATTTTAGCTTGCAATCTAAGTGTAAATGGCTTCAGACTGTATGCCTGGAATTAAATACAGTGCTTGGGAGGTCTGTGCTCCAAAGGATATGTGATTGTCTGCAAGTATCTGTGACGAAGCTCCTTATGTAGTGATGTAGCTTTAACAGTGTTTACTTGAAAGCAATTATTTATTTATTTCCCCGCACACACTCCAAAAATCCTTGTTTAGGCCAGAATTAACTTGTTTAATGTACACTCTTCGTAGAAGCTTTCTGCTTTGCTCACTTTCCCTTAAGTACTGCTGGAAAATTCCTTACTGCTTGAACAGCATCAGTACCTGGTATAACTCGGTTTGTAACTGGAAAGCACTCTGATCACTTAGCCCTGCCATTTTTCTGTTCTTCAAGAAATAAAATTGTCCAGCTTTAATAGCTTCCCCCAAGATTCCTAGAAGTAGCTGTGGAGGTTGCCAGCTGAAATGCTGATTATCAGGGTCTCTAGACTGTAGTTTGGATATTCTAGCTCAAGTCAGTATTCGTAGAATGGACTGTGGTCGCTTGATTCTCTGTAGCACATTGCCCCACCTAAGCCCAGTGCATAGCACACTGCTAACTTCAGGGTTTTGTTTTTAGCTTGAGCATTAGATGATTCTCTAACTGGTCATGCTGTGACAGTGAACTCTTGGTGGAGCGCCTGCAGCTGTCTGTGCTTGTGTGGCATGGCAGGGCAATTTCAAATAGGTGACTCATTATTTCTGAGCTTCTACAAAACCTGAGAATCTATGAATTCGTCCACTGATGGTCTACTTTTGTTCTTTTACAGTTTTGAAGAAATCTATAAATTTCAGCGACAGATTCTTAGAGTGAAAGATCGTGATGAGTTTCCTATGATTCTAGTTGGTAATAAAGCAGATCTGGACCACCAAAGACAGGTAATTCACTTGCTATTAGTTACTGCTCACCTTCTTCTAGAAATTTTAGTTTTGTTCCCACTCAATTTTTGGGATGAAGAAACAATGAAAAATCATGTCATAGTTCCAATGCAAGAAACACAACTACATTCAGTTTCTGTACTTGAAGAACTTAGAAGCATGGTGGCATTCCACATACAGCACATCTTCTGCCTGACTCAGTGGGGTTATGTTGAGACCAAATGTATTCACATACAGATTGAGAGCTTTCTGTCATGACTTGATTACTCAGGCATGAACGTGTCTTAATTCCTCTGCTTTGTTACTCACCATAGTATGCTGTGCCAAGCAGAGTGCATTCCAGCACTAGCTCTAACGATCCTGAGACCTCAGTGCTGTTGCTTTTACTCTTCACCCGTTATGTATAAATGAGTAGCTGTTTGCTGGTTTCTATTTGGCCACTCGTCTTCTGTATAACTGACTTAATGCTTTTAAAGTTTGAAGTACAGCAACATAATTACTTTTGTGTTTAAGTACCTTAAGATTAAATATTTGAAACAAGTAGACTTTCAGCCTCACCTCTAGTTGTAAAGAGATCTTAAAAGATTTAGTTTAGAATGATTTTAAAAAGGGGATTTAAATTTGTTTTCCCTACTTACTCTTGATTTTTCATGAATTAAACAGATTTGAGCTGAAATGAAAATAATCTTACTACATCAGCAGGCAAGGCGTCAAACTTGTATTCTTTTTCAGCCACTTACTTCAGAAGTTTAGTATTTTCTCCTGAGTCAGTAAGATGACTCTTCAAAGCTTGGTACAAACACATGATTGGTTTTTGTCTGAGAGTAGGCTAAATATCACTAACAAAGATAGCTGTAATTATTTTAAGACTGTCACAAGGAAAACACAGCTTTAAACAATAAGACATTCCCAGATTCATGTACCAGGGCATGACTTAATTTCTGTCCACAAGTGCTTATGTAGGTTTTGTTCTTTTCTCTGTCAAAAAACAGTGTCTGGAACAAGAAAAAAATTAGGCTCAAAACAAATAACATTGAAGAGTTTAGTGAGTTAGTACATTGTTATTCAATGAATTTTGTGAATAGTACATGAAACCTTCAGTACAAAAATGTTCCTGTTGAGTATGCTTCCTTGATTGTCACAGCCTTTTTACTCTAGAACCTGGTTGGAAAGATCATGATAAAATCAACACCAATGCTGAAAGATACTGTATAGAAAGAAGTTCTACAGAAGTAGCTCGCAAACTCATCAGGGGTAACTTCCTGTACTCACACAGGCACAGAACTCTCAGCCTATCCCTGATACAGAAGTGAGACTCTTTCACTCTTCAGTGACCATCATGCCCCAATCAAAATTCCTGCGTTTAACCTTGCAGGTCCTGGAACTTACTGTACTTCATCTTATGCACAAATATTGGCATGGAAACCATGTAGGTGAAACTGAACTGTTCTGCAAACGGTAGTTGCTGAAGGACAAACATGCAGGTGCTTTGGGAGGGAAATAGCGTCATTGCTGTCAGCTCCAGTGTTTGGAGGATACCTGCAAATGTAGTTGGCAATCCTGTAGACCCATTTCTAGAAATCGTTATGAACTTTGTTCTCTGTCCTCCACCCTCCTAATGTTATTACACCACATCTGTTTCTCCCTTAAAGGAGGAAAGAGATACCTGTCACCTCTTCTGCTAGTCCTTCTGTACCTGATTCCTAGCTGCTTTTTCGGATGATGATGGGCTGGCACACATTCAAGCTCAAAGCAGCTGTTTTCAGATTGCTTAAATTTGCAGTTTTGCTTCTTATATCTGAACACAAATAAAAGCCTATGTCCCCAAAAGCTCCTTTTGCTTTTTATGCCTATTAATTGCCTTAATTGAATAGATGCTGACAAGCATAACTTTTGGTGCTATCACTCACACAATTTGCATTCAAATTGTCGGATTTGTGGCTTCCGTCAGAAGTTGAGGCTTAGACAGTTGTAGCTGAAAAAGCAGTTCTGTGTTTGCTTAAACAGCAACTTAGGTCTTTGTAACTCTTCCCTGCCCCTTTCCCACCACGTGGTGTGATTCAGTTGGCCTTAAGTCAGTCCGAAGGAATGGTTTAAGGATGCTGAGCTGACCTAACTGGTCCCCAGAAGGGAGAGGCTCCCCTCTCTCTTGACTGCACGTTTTGCTCTTTTCTTTTCTGGCCCTGGCCCTCACTTGAAGCACTTCGTGAGTTGAATCATCTCTGGATGGGAAAAAACCAGGCAGCTGGAATGGTGTTCTGGGACCTGTGTGAGTTAAATCTGCCTGCAAAGATTTGAGTGCCAGCACTGGAAACATGGGAAGGGGTGGGACTGTGGCTTGGAGCAGAGCAGGGAGGAGTTGGGGTGGGGGATAGAAAGTGAGATCTCGCCTTTTGGCAGCAGCAGCAAGCAGTTAGATGTTATCAGCTGGGTGTTAGATGCAGCCAGAGTTTCTGCTTCATCGGTGGGGTTGTTTCTGCTCCATCACATGACTGACTTCTCAGTGAGCTGGACCAGCTTGCGGATCTTGGCTGAAAACTAGTCCTGCCACCATGTCTCCCCAAGTACGGGAGAACTTCAGCCTGACAAGCAAGGTTATCCTGCTCTGGCTGCAGGCTTGCTGCACATGCAGCTGCAATGGGAGGCCTGGGGGCTAAGGCAAGAGTACTCCCTCACCTTGCCTAGGAGTGCTGGGGCAAATGGGAAGCTTGAGGTGTCCCAGACTCACTGTGAGAAGTGCATTTTGCATCTTCGGTCTGGTGATATGCCAGGCCTCAGTCAGATTACATGGAAAACATGGTCAGCCAGGCTCGTGTTGCACTGCGGTCCTTTTTCTTACCTGGCAGTACTACAAGAAGTCATCTTACTGTCTTGTTTAATCACAAACATACGTTTTTCAGCTTCAGAACTTAAGTAGCAGTTTTAGAAATTGAGGAAGTTGGGTATGAGTTTTTAGAGCAAAACTACTTGTACCTAAAAGACAGGAGGCAAACCAGTGAAATAATAGAGAACACATGCTACGTCTGAGAGACTAACGCTAAGTTAAAGTAATTTAGTGTGTGCTTTGATCAACAAAAAACACTCATCAGAATTAACACACAAATCTTCCGGGAGCCAGAGTTAAACATGTATAAAAGTTTTGGGTGTCTCAAGGGTCTGACCACACCTTTATGCAAGTAACTGTTCTGTAGCTGAGGGCAGTGCAGAGTACTATTGTTGTGATACCATACATTTGGGAGCAAATGTGTAACTACTAATCCTTGTGTGGTGGCAACTGTTCCTCAGGAAATGAAATAGGCTGTACAGCCCAAGAGCACAGACAATAGTACGATCTTGATGAAATGTTGGGGCATACCAAAGGTGTAGTTTGGTACAAAACAGTGGTGGCTGTAATAGACTGCAGGTCGACTCACAGGTGTTTTGGGGAGAGGTGAAAGAGGAAGTTTGACATAGTGATTTCCTACAGTAATACCTCTATAGATAAATGGGAGTTAAGCAGACTTGTAATTTAGTTTCCTTTGTGGTATGGGAGGCAAAGTCCTCAATATCCACAGGTTAGGTTGACAAAGAAAAATGAGGATGAGCAAGCATTAATCTTTAAAATGTTCTTGTATGATAAGGAATAAAGTTACCAGTGTTTCCAGATAGCCTGATCAGTCACATCTCTCATGGCTCTTTCCTTAAAGTAAGTGCTGCATAGTTATCTTTCTCTTAAATGGGTCAGTTCTGTACAACTCGAACAACACTGGATGTTTCTACACTAACACAATTCAGTAGAGCACCAGATGTTTTAATAATAACCACTGCTGACGGAGGAGTAGACTTGTCAGTGCAGGATATGTATGACTCTTAGTAGATAACTGCTAGTTTAAAGTAGGTCAAGTCTGATCATTCCCCAGATGGCAGGGTTTCAAGGAAAATCCAGGTTGCAACAGGAAAGTGCTTGGGTTTCATTAAATGCCAGTTTTTGCTTTTGCATCATGACGAAACTAGAACAGTGACCTAGTGCTAAGATCATCTGTGCTGCTAGATACCTTTAAAGCAAGGTTTTAAAGAGAGGTCAGTGTCACTTCAGTTTATGCATGGACAGATGATGAGCAAAGCTAATGATCCCAGGCAAGCAGCCTCTTGCTTTCACTTTGATCAGCATCAGCCTAGATGCTAGCAAGCAAGCAGTTAAAGTTGTCTTTGCAGACTCACAGCTTCACAAATAGGTTGGCCTGAGCTGGCTTATTCCAGGAGGTGGATGGGTTCAGGGACCTGGGTGGTTGCCTACCCAAATTCACTAACATTTTGTTTTGGCTGTCTCTTAATGACTGTGAACTTGTATGGCAGTGTGACATTAACTTCTTGAGGTGACATTTTTTATGGCCATATACAGCGATGCTTCTGTTCTTACAGATGGTTGTACCTTCAGGTCTTCCCCTGGCTTGCCTGATTTTGAGCTTTATGGATAATTAGCAATCGGGCATCTGATGCAGTATTTGAATATAGCAAGTCAGCCTGAATATGTGTCATAACCACAGTTTTTGTGTACCAAAGTGACCTTTTGTATGAGAATATGGACAAAATAGAATTGGTGAATAGTGGACTACCCCTACGAAAGCATTATGGTGAACCACAGTAAGCATGAACAAGCAGCACTTGTGGGTGGGATGACATATGCATTCTTCAGGAGCCATGGAGCTCTTGGCAGGAACAGGCAATGTTTCTGAGCAGAGAGCACTGCAGGGTGACCACAAGGAGATAGAAATGGATTCCTCTCAAACTTGGGGAAACACACACTGTCACCTGCTGACACAAGTACAACAGGGCCTGTCTAAGTGTCTTGTGTAAGTGTCCAGGCAAAATACAGATGCAATGTTAGGTTAGGTAGCCTTGTAGAGTTGCTTTAGGTGGAGGAAAGAATAGAAACTTCACAAATGTATATACTCCTGGCAGTTCTCAGCTACAATAATGAACAGGGAGGGCCATGTGAGATACGTTCACAGGATTTTTGCATAGATACTCAAATGGTAACTCTTTCAGCAAAAAGACTGTGAGCCTGGGGAGTTGGGAAATAAGCTTTTCCATGTTTGACTTGCTGACTTAAATCTTCTGTAATGGTGTTTAAGTTAAGAAACTTCTACCAAATGTCTGAACAGCATGAATGAATGATATCCCAAAAACCACAGTAAAATATCCTGTAACAAAAGGATAAGCTTCATGATTCCCATTCATATTCAGCCTTAAGTTTAGCAAAGCTAAAGAGAGATTCCCTGCAGAAGCAACACAAACATGCACACACACAGTTACTACCAGAAAATCTGTAGTTCTATACTTCTGTCAAAATAAAATACAGTGTTCTTTGAAGAAAAAGCATTTAGTTTCTGGGTTGGTTTTTTTTTCTGGTTATATTTAATAAGCTCTTGCATCACACTTAGTGAAAAGCCTGTCATGATACAGAGTTGTCATACTCAAGAAGGGAGAGTAAAAAGCTGTAAATTCATATTTTTGTATGTTTGTACTTACTGCATTTCCCTCAGACTTGAAAATGGGACTGGTATGTTCTGACCTCTAATTTACAGCTTGGGCACTGCAAATATTTCTGTATTGTGCCCAAAATCAAGCATTTTCTCTGAACTGACTTTGTTAAGGTCACTAAAATTGATCATAAGCTACTTGAAAATATACTTGTAAGACAGACAAAAAAGAATATTTTGGAATTAAGCAACTACAGATAGTCTAGTAAATGCAATAAGGACTTTAATTTGCATCTATAATATTTTAAATGCAGAATATTGTGGAAGTCTAGCTTGACGTTATTACAGTGTTAGTTTGACTTCTAATGTGCTTTAGATAGAGTAATGAAGAAAGTAGTAACCATGTATGTTTAAAAACTGGATTCAGTTTCTCCTCAGGCTTATGCATTCCTTCCCAATTATTTATTTTTATTAGACTTTAGCCTCTCACTTTCTGAGGCTAGAGAAGACTATGCAGGGATGAAGAAAAGTAAAGGCAGTTAGTTTTGCAAAAACTGCCATATCTGTACTTTAACTTACTTTTTCTGGTGAGGCAGAGATGTAAAGAAGGTTCTGGAAGTCCTAAGGCAAACTTCAGGAGATTCTTCAATGTTGTTGATGTGCCAGAAAGTACCTATGAACATTTCTCAAAGTGCAGCCTTTGTAAGCTTTGGAATAAGGATACTTCAACATCTGGGGCTAAAGAGGAAGGTGGAAGTGGGTTTGTTCTAGTTAGTGGAGCAAAAATCTTGAGTGTAATTCTGTATTCAGGCAGCCATGGAGGACTGAAGGATCCCAGTCCTTCTCACGTTGTGCCCTGCAGTTAAAAATGAAGCTCCAGTAGTTGATCTTGGTGTTGGGTTGGTTTTGAGGATATTTTTTGGCTTCAGCTGATGGTAATAACACTGAAATAAATGTAGAGTTTTCTGTGTTTGAGATCAGCAGATGCATCCTGAGTTACTCCAGTTGAGATCTCTTTATTGAGCTTCATGAGGGGTTAGTGGGAGCAGTCCTCAATTCAGCAGTAAATGGATGAATGTAATGCCACTGGGGGTACTAAGGACAGAGGAATCAAAGATTTTGAGTTACTGTGCATGAAGGCTCTCAAACCATGTGTGTAACCGTTAGGAAAGTATTTTACAAGTTAATAAGTACTTCTGTGCTTTCCTGTTCCCATCTCTTTCTGTGTAGCTTCTTAATCTAAGGGAATATCTGAGTGCCTTTTCGAAACTTAATTAAAAATAAACCTTCTTTTTGGATTTTCTTTTTCCTCATCGTAGCAGTCCTCTACGTGCTGCTTTAACATTGTTCTGTGAAAGCAGTGTAATCTTTGACATTTCTTCCACTAACCATTGTCTTGGCAAGATCTGTTGTGTTTCCTTTCCTCACTGAAAGCTGCCCTTTCCTCTCTGGCCCTGTCAGTGACCTTCCCGTTAAAGCTTCACATGCCTTGCACTGCTCATGGTAGCCTTCTGCTTTCTGACCTTGCTGCTTTCTACTTCATCCAAAAATACACAGTGATCACCTTTGGTTTTGCCCTGTGACCAGCTTATTTCTCCTTTCTATAATGGTCCACTAGCTTCCTGCCTTCTGCTTCATCACTTTAAATTTTATACCAACTCTATGATGCTCTGTTTCCTCTTCATGTCCCTTTTCTCTGTCCTAAGGAGTCAGAAGGTAGACAGGGTTTCTTCAGTATCTCCAGATAACCTGAAAGCTTAATGGATTTTTCAGATCTTTTGTAATTTAAGCTACATTTAAGACTGGCTGTATTATTATTTTGCTGTGTCATAAGTAGATTTTTAAATATAAAATATTTAATAGCCATCTTTTTTTTTTCTGGGGTTTTTTTGGTGTCTAGATTTAGCTGGGACAGGGAGACATTGAGAGTTTAGCAATAGTATTTGCAGTTCTGTTCGTAATCCAGCAGACGTTGAGCGGAGAACTTGCTTTGAAGGGCTTTTGCCTGCCTGTGAAGAAAAACTTGGTCTTTTTTATGCAGAACTGGAGTGAAGATGAGGCAGCTGCAGTGAGGGAAATTCGTTGGAGGGATGGTCTTTGCCTGTTGCAGAAACTTAAAAGAAGTCTTTGCTTGCATTTGAAAAGTGGTATCACATGGATTTGCTTCCCAGTTACATTATGTGGGCAGTGTGGAAGCTATTCTGTGTCCAAATGAACATTATTGCTTGAGGGAAACAAATCCTTGACATGTATATGCAGAAGCCTTGCATTTAATGAATGGTGTCTGTTACAGGTGACGCAAGAGGAAGGTCAGCAGCTAGCACGGCAACTCAAAGTAACATACATGGAAGCCTCAGCAAAAATCAGACTGAATGTAGACCAAGCTTTTCATGAACTTGTCAGAGTTATAAGGTATGCTAACTTGAGACCAGGTAATTGATGTCCATACATTAATGGATAGCTACAGCTAATGTTTTGAAATGTAGTGGGAAATCACTGAGAAAATTCTGCCTGCTGTTTCCTGTGAACTTTGATCAATGCTCTCTATTAGAAAGTGTTCCTGTGTGTTAGGGAAAATGTTTATGTGAATGTAGTATGTATTTGAAAGGTATTTTCTTCACCTTAATCTCTCAGATTTTATTGATCACCCAGTTTGTAAGCCTGATAAACTAAATTTGAGATTAGTCTTCTGTAAAAAATGGTGTTTCTTGTTTGGGGGGGGGAAAAAAAAGCAAATCTCAAAAAGCTGTGATTCAATCAACAGTTTGAGTGTCAAAAGAAAGTCCATCCTCCATAACAGTATAAACCCCATAACTTTAAATACAATATTTATTCTTATTTAACTGAAAATGATTCTCTGGATTTAACTTGAAATATCTATTTCAGGAAGTTTCAAGAACAAGAGTGTCCTCCTTCACCAGAGCCAACACGGAAAGAAAAAGACAAGAAAGGCTGCCATTGTGTTATTTTCTGAGAATCCCAAGAACCAAGCTGTCAACTGCCAGATTATTTTTTATTGTCCATCATTTTACATCACTTCTGGTATTGGTCTAGCCTTACATGTGCATGTCCTAAAAGTGGTCACCAGAATAGCCTTAGTCCAAGAAGCTGGCAGAATAGTTCTTGAAGAAGACTCGGTCATCCTGGGGCAGACTTCAAAGCAAAACACTAAGGCTGCTTCTTTAATACCACAGTTCCTTCCTCCTCTCCCTTAAGAGCTTGCACCTTGTGGAGTTTTATTCGCAAAGGAGATGAAACAAAACCGTGTAGGACAAGGTGTTGAAGTCACGCATAAGTTGTCTCTTGTGAATTAATTTATTTTTACTTCTGACATTTCATTAGCTATTACAAAGACCTATATTGAAGTATAGAGAATACTTTTTAAAAAAGGGGTGGATTGGCTTTTTTTGCCCACAGTTAAATTAGACTTGAGTATTCAGCTAGCCTTAAGAAACCTACACTGAATTTCATTGTCAGCAAAAATTTTCATCTCTCACTTATGCTGCAGTTTTATTTCAGTGGCCAAAACAGTCTACTGTATTTATTTTATGAATCCAGAACAGCTACAGGATGATTACTACTACTATTAGGATATGGCCAAATACCTGAGCTCATTCTGGATTGAGGCATTTCAGCTTATTAAGAAATTTCACATCATTTGTTTGGAAACAAATTGTGTCTTCCTTTGTATTTTTGGGTAAGGGATTAAGGAAAACTAAAATTGTAGCTGTTTTTGTTTCATGTGATATAAAAATGAATTTGATCTTTCCATTGTCAGAGATGATTAAATGTTTTTGCTATATACTTTTATACATTATTTTCTTATCAAACTAGTTAACAAGTATTTTTATATGTTTGTAAGCAAATATGCTTTCACAGCATAACTTGTGTATATGTAAAGATGAGTATTTAATTCTCACAGTTCACTTTTAACTGACAAAATGTGGGATTTGCCAAACTGTGGTAAACTTCTCCTTACTCTTCGGTTATACCCAAGAATGGCCAAATTATGTGCCTGCCCAACACACCCATAGAGTAAAATCTAGTGTTGTGTTTTAATGAATTTCAGTATCCCCTACTAAAGACTATTATGTGAATTATTAAACTGTAAGACTTTTAACTGATTGTTTAGTTAAACTGTGGATGGTTGTTTAATTTTGAGTTCTGTGGATTGTGTTTAAACAATTCAAGAGTATGGTCCCTGATATTGAAATACTGAGTGGTATTGCACAGTTGTCACCTTACTGAATGTGTCCAACAGTTCTCTGAAACTTGATTATTAAGCAGACCCTTGTATAACTTCAGGTGCTAGAATTAAAGATGATCTAACCATTATAAGGGGGTAAGCACACTGCCTCTTTCTGACTCTTCTCCAAAACATGAATTTTTTTGGGGTGGGGGGAAGAAGGGCGTGATGGCACCTGCTTAGGAGATATATATGCACATCTGCACAACCTTTCTTCAAGCTTGGAAGTAAAGAAAGCCTACTTCAATTTAAATCATGACAGATGATAAAAGCTGATGTTTGTTTTGACTTGGAGTACATAGTCAGTGGTCCCGTCAGCAACTGTGTTGCTGTGCTCACAGTCAGGTGCTGTGGCATAAATCTGTAAACATCTGCTGAGAAAACAGTGCTTAAACAAGTTCAGTTACCTGTAGAGCAGCAAAGTGTTAAACCTAGAATTAAGGTTAGTGCTGTGCATAGCAGAGAAATTTAATTATTTCGTGTGTTATTTAGATTAGCTTGTGTAATGCTGTTTTTAAAGCATGGATAGCTTTCCCCTTCCCCTTTAAATAAAGGTATTGGTTGTTGAAGGGCTACTTACGAACAATGTGTAGAAGATTCAAGCGAGAAGTTACAGTGGAAGTACATTTGGGAGATGGATTACATTTTTCAAGTCGAATGTAAGAAGTTACAGCCTGTAGCAAACACCACGTGTTTTCTTAAATATGCAAAGCTCTCTAGAGTGAAGTCACTGCATATGTGGCATTAGAATGAGTTAAGACAACAAATTGCAGCCATGTGTGTTGAGGCTGAATTTCTGAGGTGCGAATACCTTAAAGTCTCATAATTTATTTTTTTTCCCCTTTTTTAAACCTTTCACTCATGATAGGTTGGTTTTAAAATAGTAGACTGTGATATGGATAGGTGTTTTAATACGTAATTCATAAAGAAGGTGGAGAGCACCACACCCTTGCATTTCCTCATGGGGAAAGCTGAACAGCTTCAAGGTGGTTGATGCTAACCAACCTACTCCTATCTGATAAGCCACATGGTAAACTGTATAAGCAAGTTAAATAGAAGTGGGACCACCAGCTGCTGCTGTGGAAGTCAGCTTTATGTTTATTAACTAAGTATATTCCTGTGCACGTGTTTTGGGACTTCTGAAGCTAATGTACAGGGAAATCTTTATGTAATGTTATGGTCTCTTTTTGAGAGTGGTTTGTATATGGCACTTCAAAGAACTGTTAGATGCAGCTATTTTGATCCTACTCTTCAGACTTGAAGTTGGTATTTAGAAAAGTAATACCACTTTTTGGCCAGTAATAGTGATCGAGGGGTTCCTGAGTTCCAAACAGTTTGAGGTATTTCAATGATTTGCTTTTCCAGTTGTTGTACCTGAAGGTAATGGTGAAAGATGGCATTTCTGTGCCTAGCATGGAGCTTGCAAAGCGCAAGAGGGACCTTGCTTAAAGATCTGTGGCTGATGTTTGTAGTTACTTCAGTTCAAGGCCACATTCTGAATCATTTAAATGCACACTTGAGGAATTTGGGGTGCTTAAAATGTATCCCAAAAATGACCATCCACTTCTCCTAGAGCGGAGAAGGAGGGTCTGGACCTTTGTTTCAAAGCACAGAATAACTCTTTTTCTTTCTGGAATCTCGCACTGCTGAGCTTGCTGCTCTGCCAGATGAGGAGGATTGACTTGCCTGTAGGCAAAAGCCTTTTTCTGTAATTGGTGATGTTTTATGGATGGTCCAGAACTGGGGAAGAATTACTTCCACGTAAGTACACTGTAGTTCCTTATGCCTGCTCTGACTGATGTATTTGCTTTCTCTGACCTAGTGACTCTTCTGCATCACTATGCATGCTAACTTGTACAGGTAAAGAGGAGAATTTCCAGAAGTGTTACATTACTTCCTCTAAAACTGCTCTTTTGTGGCATGGCCTGTTCAGGGGCAGTAGAGCCACTGATACTGATGATAGTTATAAATTGACCTTGACTGTGCAGCAAAGAGGTAAATCAAAAGTAGGACTAGTTGCTTAGTCTGTTTCCAGCCTGTTGCACCGAGTATCTGCCCGAACTGTGCATCTACAACTGGTCAGCCCTGCTGCTGCAGATTAAAACTAACCTGGTGTGATGACACTGCAGAGCTGTGTAGGCATACGAGGTGGGTGATCTTCCTGTCACAGTTGTTTTCCTTCCATTTTTCTAATGGTGTAAGTTTGTGGTGTCTCACAGCACACAGGACATGGTGCGGTGCACCCTGGCAGTGCCTGCCCTCTTCCTGCAGAAGAAGGAAGGCTCCTCCACCCCTCCCTCATTGCCCTTGCTAGTGGTGGTGGCCCTGGAGAAGTGCTCGTGCTCAGGCTGTCGGGCAAGAGGCGATCAGATAAAGGCTCTAACTCTAGGTGGCTAGCCCGGTGTAGGAGCGTGTAAGGAATGAATGTAATGAGCTGTTGTGAAAGGGTTAATAAAGCAAAATATATTTAGACTGCGTTAACACCCACTGATGCCAAGGAAAACTCTGACTTTATGCGTGGCCTTGTGGTTAGTCATTGCTGATGAAGTTCAAGTCTGGATTCACACAAGAATACTAGCTAAGGCTCTTCTGACATCAGTTTATGTGACAAGATTTCACCCGTGGCATAGCTGTAGCTGTCGTTGACTGGCCTTGCCACATTATCTTGTTACTAAGCTTTAAGGAGCTTATTCCAAATAGAAGATTCTTGAAGTCAGTCACCACAAGTCAAGCACTGCCAGAAATTATCTGCGCTTATTATTTAGAAGTGCGTTGCCTAGGAAAGCTCAGGAATCTGCTAAACAGGGAATGCATTTGTTCGCTTAATTTAGGCACAGATTTTGGAAGTTGATTGCTCTCATGTACCCCAAACCATGCTTAAACACTCAAATTGAATTTAGAAAAACGCTCAAGCTGGAAATATGGGGCCACTGGCGTTTTTCCTGTGTTATTCAGCTAACCCATTGCAGAGCAGCAGTCTGCCAAAACTTGAAGGCTTGAAGTTGTTTAGATGGGCTCTTCCTCAGAGCATCCCGAATGGTAAAAGCAGTGCTTGCCCCTTTGTAACTACAGCTTTTTCTGCTGTGATTACCCGGTTCTGTTGGAAAGATAAGTTAAATTTGCAGGCCTGAAGCAGGTTCTGAGTTTTAACAGGAGCTGAGGAGAGGTATGTTCAAGGTCTTAATCCCTGTGTTGTGTGGCATGTGTTGTAAGGATAGAGAACTTGCCAATGTTCTTGATATTCAGATATTCTCATAGATATTCAGATACTCTCATAGAGCTCTGACCATGAAAACACTTGCATGGAACATGTTGGGTGCAGAAACAAAGATGTGTAGGACTGACTTAGTAGCCTTCAGCTGGGAAGATGAAGAGTTTTAAATGAGAAGCAGCAGATGCGGAACAGGCAATGGATTAAACTACAAGGAGAGCATAATACCTAGAGACATGATGAATATGTTCTATGTTTGTTTTATGCTTGCTGTACTAGACTTCTAAGTCTTGCGTTTGGAAGCATTTGAGAGACTTGTGGGTTAAATATAAAGGGCAGACGATGTCCCCCACCAAAGCCAAATTGCATTAGCACTTGTAATACAATTAATGTTCCTAGCCAGCCAGCCAGCAAGTAGTATGCAGAACTAAAGGCATCATCTTGCTGCTGGAAAGCAAGTCGTAATCTGGATACTGTGAGCTGTATTAAGACCCACAGTATTTGGTACTCAGTAACTTGTAGTGACACTGGCACTTTATAAATTACTACATTTTTGAAAAATGTTTCTGACATGGCAGTATTGCAGAGAGGGAGAAGTTACCGTAGCAGGGTACAGGCACCAAAAGGCAAGTAGGGGCAGTGATAAAACTTCTTAGTTCTTTGTCTCTTAGTCCTCATCACGAGTTAACTTGTACTAGAGACAGTTTTCATTTCATCCAGTTCCATCCCCTGCCACGGGCAGGGACACCTTCCACTAGAGCAGGTTGCTCCAAGCCCCTGTGTCCAACCTGCCCTTGAACACTGCCAGGGATGGGGCAGCCACAGCTTCTCCGGGCAACCTGTGCCAGTGTCTCAACACGCTCATAGGAATGAATTTATTCATAGTTTTTCGTCTAAATCTCCCCTCTGTCAGTTTAAAGCCATTCCCCCTTGTCCTATCTCTAAATGCTCTTGTAAAAGTCCTCCATATCTCCTGTAGGCCCCCTTTAGGTACTGGAAGACTGTTACAAGGTCTGCCCAGAGCCTTCTCTTCTCCAGGTGTTTCACTTGAACTGGGCTGCTGAAGAGCTATAGCACAGTACAAATACTCATCTGAATGCATCTCGTGTTTCTTATGAGAAATCTAAAAGAATAAACTTACTTTGGTAATATGAATAGCATATATGCTTTAAAAAGTATTCTGTGAAGTAGTGTTTGAGACCTGTCTGGGACTGCATATCCAGGGCCCTATGTAAACATAACACAGATTTGTCCTCGCTGTGAAAAGCTGTGATCTGAATAGGTAAGACAAGCACTTCTATGGATGAAAGGTCTCCTAGGAATAAATGGTGTATTATTTTGTTGTTGTGATTGTTTATAAAGGAGTGGACTTGTGTAGGGGATCCACCTCCAAGCAAAGGGAAAAAGGATTAAATACCCAGAAGTAAAAGCCATGTGGAATGAAGTGGCGGTGAAGGCGTAAGGAGGGGAGAATGGCTAAAGAAAACTGCTAACTATGGCCATGAAAGGTTCAACCGAAGCTGTAGCAGCTGCTACAACCACTAGCTGCTGGCCTAGTAAATGTGAATTGCACAGGGAGCTATTTATTGACAACCACGAGATGTCACTGTTGGCAGGCATATACCTGAGCAGATACAGGGCTGTTGCTTTTGCCAAGATCCCTGCAGAGTTCAAGTTCTTACTTTTACAAGCAGGGTAGGGATGAAGGACAAGAACCATAACAAAGCCGTTGATCTATAACTAAACAGGGCCATGTGCTGGTGCTATTTCAGAGTATTTTGTTCTGTGAACCCTGTAAAATCCGGGTAGTGGCGAGGGAAAAAACAATGATTTATAAATAGTAGTTCTGAAGAAATTCATGTGGAAAGCAGGACGG